ATACGCATCTCGATGCATAGCCAACGATACGATACATTAAATATACATATGAAGCAGCTACCGATGCGATACGATTCACCCCTATTACGATGCAATCCGAGTTCGATTCGATTCGATTCAACACAATGCGATTCGATGCAATGGAGAAAATATGATCACTTTTAATGCCTCGAGGCCCGTTTCATAAAACAAGTTTACCAAATAAGCCAGGCTTATTTCAGTTAGTCTGACTCACTGTCAAATTGTTTGGTTCTATAAAACAAAATTTGCTTTATGGAACCATAACTAGCACAACATTAATAAAGGCGATTTGCAAAGATTCATAAAAAAACTAAAAACTTACACTTACTTCTGGAGGTGAAGCTGGATCACGAACAGTTGTTAACGATCTATCCTTCAGGAACAACTTTTTAGCACAACCTTTTTTTTTTTTTTTTTTTTACAGTTTCTAGCCAAGCAGCCTTTCTCTCTGGTTTTATTATAGCTGCACCTTTTATAGTTTGCAGAACAGATAGCAGACAGATAGCAGAACATTAGAATATTACAATCTAAAATTGCTCTTTAAAGCATTAAAATAACTAATTTAAAAGTTAAAATCACTGAATTAAAGATGAAAATAAATAATAAAGAAAATGACTGCATTTTAACTGCTATAAGAAACACACATTAACTCATTTGAGGGTTTAAAATTCTACAAAAGACACATTTAATGTCCAAAAACAATTTTTTTAGCTCAGAATTATTGCGCTCCTATTCGATTGCGCTCCTTCTGTTTAGCGTGCATGCGCACAGCAGCGCTCGTTCACTCGCGTCAGCCTCGTCCACTTCTGACAGCAGAATGGATATGTTTGCATGACTTTATAACATTTACAGATGAAAAATATACCTGTGACATGTCAGTTATGCACTGAGGAAAACACAACGTCTCAAATGCATTAAACAGCACAGATATATTCGCTGATTGCCATGGTGGATCGATTTGATCCATGATCGACATTAAGGTCTGCTTAACAAAGTAGTTTCGCTTTCACAATGAAGCACACAGCGCCTTCACGAAATGGAGGCGGCAACAACAAAACTACAGTGAGAATAAAAGTTACGTTAATAGAACCGCTTTAGCCCTGATTGATTTGTTAGGTTATTTCAAGTCAGGTTTTGGACTTTAATCCCAGTTTTTCCTCGGGTCTCCGTGGTGTTCTGATGCGTCATTCACGCAGCAGCAGCGGTGATGAGAGAGCGCACTTGAGAAACAGTTTAGAGAGGAGAAATCAATCTACACATACAATATTGGTCACAGATTATTGGTCAATTTCTAAATAATAAAGTATAGCGCATCCACAAAAAAATTATATACAAATAAATCGTTTTTTAACGATGCAAATATGTTAGAAACGATGCATCGCGATATAAATGACAACTTGTAGCCGATGCACACTTTTTAAACCAATGCATCGCATCGTTAACTTTTTATGCCGATGCACCGAGCGAATCTGGGAATCTTCCCATCCCTACTTTCTATACATCTCTGTGAGACGTGAGTGAAGCAGTCATATTTGTCCGTCTAAAAAATGTGCTGAATATGCATCTGTGTGAATGGCTTGGTTTCGGTTTTCACCTAATCAAGATCTTCTAGGCATTGAGCTTCTATATTTCTCTAATATTTTGAATGAATAACGCAGCAACTGCGTGTCTCATGGGATAGACTAACAAAACATTAAACTACAACATCACTTACATCATCATCACCGCATCTCGCGCGCCACTGACGCTCCCAGACGGAATTAAATTCGACTAATATTCTATTTTTTTATTCACAATCTCCTCATCACAGGCAGGCACAGCACTCATGTTCGTGTTTGTGTGTGCTGTCTGCGTAACTCATAGCACGTGCCTATATCGTGCACTATATCAAACATTTTTAATATCGTTATCGAAGAAGGTGTACCGTCGATAAATATCGATACCGTTTTATCGCCCAGGCCTAAGCACAATCTAATAAATCATGCTTCATGGATAAAGGGTTTTGGCAGAGAGAGCATGCTGGAGGATCTTCTACTCCAGAGCTCAGAGCAATGCAAGCGCCTTGAATGACTTTATAAGAAAACTCAGCTTCATGTCCATGCTGCTGCTTATTCAGACGATGTTTTGAAATATAATAAATCACTCAACACTGCACACTCTTCATAACTTTCCAGTGTTATTAATAAAGCAAAGTGTAAACCCAAGACCCTTTCTCTGAGGTTAAAGGGGACATCGATGCCCATTTTCCACAAGTTGTTATGATTATTTAGGGTCTTCATGAAATGTCTGCAACATACTTTGGTTAAATTCCTGAATGGTCGTGTAAAACAACAGCCAACACCAAAACAGCTCTGTTCACGCATGTCCCTTTAAATGCTAATGAGCTACTGCTCTCCCCACCCCTCTCTACCATGTGATTTGCTGCCTTGGACTGTGTATATGGCTTGGAGGTGCTCTAATTCAAATTAGGGATGGGCGATACCCCTTATTTTGTTTACGATACGATACCGATATTTTTCAAGGCAGTATCATCGATATCGATACCGATTCAATACTTCTGCACTAAACTTTTAAATTATGAAATTTATTAAATTATTAAATTACTAAGAGTAAAATGGGTAATGAAAACTTCATAAACTACCCCTAAATGAATCGCGATTTGTTTAGCATCTCAACCGATTTGAATCGTCACATATTTTAATCGATTTTCAACCGGCTCGCGGTTAATCGTTACATCCCTAACTCATACCTAAACTTAACAACTACCTCACTTAAACTGAACCGTTACTTAACTATTAATATGCAGCATATTAGGAGTCCATTGAGGCAAAAGTCATAGTAAATAGCTAGTTAATTGAGAGAATTGGACCTTTAAATAAAGTGCGACTGAAATGTACATGTCTTGGGCTTTTACAAGGAACCTGCAACTAGCAAGAAAAAAAAAAAAAGAAGCCATGGTTGTATTTTAAGGAAGTGCCATGCACCAAGTCTTCGTTTATGAGTTATTTCCTTTCATGGTCTAAAATGCAACTTCAACTACAAATGAGTGTAAGAAAAATTCCCATGATCCTGTCACGAGCCCCACTGACCTTCTGTACTGAGCAGTTTAGCCAATGCACTGTCAATGTAAGAAAGAGGAGACAGTTTCGATAGCAAACTTTGTTAAAGTATGAACACACCACATATTTGGTTGTCATATTTTCTCTCTTTTTCTCAGTGTATTTTTTCACAGTTCCTCTCCAGATTATTATTATTAATATTAGATGCAACCTAACCATTTAAATGTGTGAGAGATCTGAAACGCTTGATAACTAAAATATATCCTCTATAGAGCCTACAGGAGGACATGAATGACGTCAAACAGCAAACCTTCAATTCAGAAACACATTGTTTCGCATACAAATGCAATATTTAAGATATTTCTCTCTTTTTATACAGTGCATGGGTTTTTTTACTCTTAATTTTCAGAAAAGTAGACGTTGATTATGACTGTTTTGAATATGACGGTTTATTAATATAAAACAACATATTAATAAACAATAACTGGTTGAATGTTTAGCACTTTGGCGACTCTGACCGCCGCGTTGATTTGTAGTGAGTTTCCATGTCCAATATCAACACAACTCTAAATCTAGAATCAATCAGGCAGAGTAAACAGCTCTCAAACAATCAGACCGGATTCAGAGGTGACCTCAGCATCACTCACACACACACACACACTCTCTCTCTCACACACACACTCACACACTTTCCTTGTTTTTTTCTTCTTCTGTCCTCTCTCTCACACGGGTTTCTTCCTTGTTTTTTTTCTCTCTCTCCCTCTCTCTCTCACACACACTCACACACACACGCTCACACACACTTACCCCGTGTTACTGATGTCGTCGGTGAAGTTGGCGACGGCGACAGTGTCCGGCTGAAGTCCCTCTCTCAGGAACAGACGGGATGTTTTCTCATCATAGAGCGCAGAGTAAATTTGAGCCCATGACACGTTTACAGCACAAATGAAGAAAAACAAGCGATAAAACGCCATTGAACCTCTAGAAACAGATTTCTTCATTGTCTTCTGAGGTTTACCGGCGGTTGACAGACCTTTGCTGCATCACAGACAGCAACTGGATAACAGTGAGAGAAGAAGCTGCTTTTTCTTCTTTCTTCTTCTTCTTATTTTTGTTCAATGGCCGTTCACTCCTTAGGAATATTACCGCCACCTACTGTATATCTTGCGCACATGGGTGATGAATCTGTACTGAAGGAAAAAATAAATAAATACATTTTGTAATGCCCCACCCACCCCAGAGGATCAGAGCCCAAGCTTCAGCTGGCGCTGCGTGTTCCCAATAAAATATTTGTGTAATGCCCCACCCACCCCAGAGGATCAGAGCCCAAGCTTCAGCTGGCGCTGCGTGTTCAGCTCCTCCAGCTTCCACACTGTGCTCCTCAACCTCCGAGATGATCCTCATCCTCAAACACTAAATCCTGTGAGCTCTAAACATGTTAAAACCACCTTAAACATCTGACTAGCACTCAAACCCTTTCCCAGAAGGTCCACGACACTCACTGGTCTGTTCCTTATATTGCTAAAAAGACTGTTACGCTGATCTTCATATTTACTACATTTAAGGGGAGAAAATTCCTTTTTTTTTTGTATTTCGTATACTAATCTTTTAGTTATCATTTTCTCCATGAGTTTGCAAAGGTTAGATGTCAAAGCTATTGGTCTATAACTTTTAGCTTCTGTTTTATCCTTACCAGGTTTTCCTACAGGAATTATTACTGAGTGCTTCCAACCAGCAGGTATTCTCCCTTGCTCCCATATTTTGTTATAAAGTATTAAAATCACATCTTTTGCTACATCTGATAGTTTAATAGACATTATTCTAGATATCTTTTGGCAGGGGTTATAAAAGTTAACTATTTTTTGTTTTACTGAACCATATTTAAATTATTACTACTTCAAAATCTTTGTCAATACTTATAGCCCTATAATTACTACCTTGTTCAATGAAAGTAATCACTCCACCCCCTATTGCAGAACTTCTATCTTTACGTACTGCTGTATACCCATGAATTATAAAGTCAAGTGATGGTTTTAACCATGTTTCCTGTATACATGTGACGTTTGGTTTAACAGATAATTCTTCTATGAAATGTTTTAATTCTTGTCCATTAGCAATTAGACTTCTGGCATTCCATTGTAAAATGCCCACCACCACCACATGTTGATTGTGTTTCAGATATCCCTGCTGTTAGTGTTGCATTGATTAACTCTATACTGATACCTCCTCTATCCCTAGATACTTTTCTGCTGTTTTTGTGATTATCTTGATTCTCTCTGTTCTACTGCTTGTTTGTGCTGAGCAGTTGTTACGCATGAGGTTGTATTGGTGCTGCTGCTTCGTGTTTCTTTTCTCCTTTCGGATGTTATTCTCTTTTCCTGCTGTTCGTCTCTCCTGTCCTGTTTTCGCAGGTTGCTCCGCCTTAATTGGACGTGCCATCAGCGTGCATGGTGATAGGTGGCGAGGAGCATCGGCATCTTTTAAAAGAAGAATGATGAGTAACACCCGGACGGGGAGGGGGAGCGAGAGAGAGTAGAATCTGTGTCGTTCATCTTGTTGGACGTTGTTGGGATGGTGTTATCATATCTTGCTTGTAAGATTAGTGAAATTGTGTGAACCATGGAATGTTTACTGTTCTCACCCCCAAGTTTGTTTCTTTCTTTTCCCCCCAATTGAGTGTTACTAACCATTTATGTGATCTGTTAAGCTTGGCTTATGAACGCTGTAGGGGCTAGGTGCCATTTATTTTTGATATGCTTTTCTCCTGTTTTTGGATTAGTTAAGGAGTAAGGGAAGTGCTTGTATTTATTTTTATTTTTACTTTGGTTAGGAAATTTAGTTTTGGGCTAAGGTAGTTCTGTTTGTTTATTATTTTGGCCTGGCCTAGCCCTGAATGTTTTTCTTTGCGTTCTTTGTATGAATTGCTTACGACACAGACTGTTTTTTCCTTGTCCTCACAATAAAAAAAGAACCCGGAAAGGTTTCTTAGAAGTACTTGTGGTCTCACTCTCGTTCTTCTAAGGTTTCGCCCCTGAACCCTAGACTTGGGGGCGTAACAATTGGGGGCTCGTCTTTTTGAGTTGTGAGGAAGAGGGAAATAGTTACCTACCGTATTTATCTTTTTGTGAGAAATTGATATGATACGGGAAGGTATTATAATGGGGAGAAATGGCCGTCGGCGTCATTTACTTTGCCTATGACTACGTGCGGGGGTGAGTGTTTCAGAATTTTGTTCCTTTGTTTATTTGTTTTCTTGTGGTGTGGGAAAGAGAATTTGGAGTGGGCAATGGAGTTTGACCTGATCTCTTTTACACTGGCTCCGAATACGGAACAATTCAATCGTTGTCGCAAAGATGATTTGATTAAAATTGCAGATTTTTTTTTTAATTAGTGTGTCACATAAGGCTTCTAAAAAGGATATTAAAAAGTTTTTGCATCAGGAGTTGATCCTGCAGCGAATCTTACCTGAGGAGACGGTGGTGGGTGGTGCAGATGGGAGCGCTGTTTCGCCGGTAGTGGCCGACGAGAAGCCTCCTTCTGTCCCTCTCTCTCCCGTGCCTCCTAGGTTGCCGTTAATTGCACCACCCAGCAGCACGATGATGTTTCCATCATCAGATCCGGTGCTGGCAGTGAAGCTAAGGGAACTGGAATTGGAAGTAAAACGAGAAGAGACTGAGGGTAAAAGGCTTAGGCTAAGGGAACTGGAGCTGGAGTTAGAGAGGGAGCGTTTCCGAAGAGATCACGGTTTGTCTCAGCCGGCTGTGCTAGCGTGTAGCAGCTACATTACAGTGGCCAAAGGAGATGTGGGCTCTTTTGCTGCAGTGTAAATTAATTGGTAAAGCGCAGGAAGTTTGCTCCGCGTTGCCAGTGGAACAGAGTTTGGTCTATGATGTGGTTAAACAAACTGTGCTCCGTCCTTATGAACTTGTGCCGGAGGCATACAGACAAAAATTTAGAGCTCACAAGAAAACAGACAGACAAACGTTCGTAGAATTTGCAAGGGAAAAACAAACCCTATTTGATAAATGGTGTGCTGCTAATAAGACCATAACATTTGATGAGTTGAGAGAATTGGTTTTATTGGAGGATTTTAAGAGCTGTGTACCCGAGAACCTTGTGATTCATTTAAATGAACAAAAAGTGTTGTCCCTTTCTGCAGCCTCTGTGTTAGCTGATGAGATCGTGCTAACACATAGAACAGTTTTCTCTTCCGTGCTCAAGGGTTACGGATCTGCTGGCCAAGGAGGTGAAGGGCAAGCCAGAGGGTGGACTAATACTGTTAAGTTGGGACGAGGGGGCGTTTCCGCGGGGCGAAGGGCTGCTCAGAATCACTCCGGGGACGGTAGGGTATGTTTTTATTGTCTTGATGCTGGTAATTTAATAGCGGATTGTGATGCCTGGAAAAAGAAAAATCCATCGGTTAAACATAAAAGTGTATGTTTTGTATGTGCGGAAGCAAATTATGCTATTTTGAGTTCAGAAAAAATGGGGTATGAACCTTTCATGCTATCAGGGTGGGTGTCACCTAGCTCTGAGCAAGATCTAAAACCAATAACGGTATTGCGGGACACTGGGTCGGCTCAGTCCTTAATGCTTTGTAGCACATTGCGTTTACCACCTGAATCATATACGGGTTCTGATGTTATTCTACACGGGGTTGGTTTGGGCTGTACTAGAGTGCCGCTGCATACGGTCTATCTTCGAGAAGGACTAGTAACAGGAACTGTTTGTGTTGGATTGTGCTCTGATCTCCCTGTAGAGGGAGTCGAGTTTATTTTGGGTAATGACTTGGCGGGTGGGAAGGTTTTTCCTCTACCAATTGTAGTAGATACCCCTGTTGTTGACGTGAATACAGATGTGTCTTTTAAATTTCCTAAACATTCCCTACTTGTGTGGTAACACGAGCCCAAGCTCGTAATAAGGAGAAGGAAGTAGATCTATCTGATAGTTTCCTGCAGACTGCTTGCGAGGATATGTCTGAGGAAATACTGCGGACATAAAACCTGTTATAAATCAAGCAGAGGTCCTAAGTGTTTGTGAGTTCCCGTTACCATTAGGGCGTGCGCAGCTAGTGGTTGCGCAAAATAATGATCCTTCTTTGAAGGCGTGTATCGTTGCGACAAATAAGGGGACAGCTGTTGATAGTAAAGTACAGTATTTCTGGGACAATGACTTACTGATGCGTAAATGGGAGGACAGTGACTGTGTTCACCAAATTGTTATTCCTTCGGGGTACCGTTCCCAAATATTAACCCTTGCACATGACCATGTTCTTTCCAGCCATTTAGGGGTTAGAAAAACGTATGAACAAATTTTGAGGGGTTTTTTTTGGCCTGGGCTCAAGTCGGATGTCGCTGCCCATTGTCGCTCATGTCGGTCATGCCAGCTGTCGGGCAAGCCAAACCAAATTATACCCCCTGCGCCTTTGCACCCAATTAACAAACCGTTTGAGCGGATACTGATCGACTGTGTTGGCCCGTTGCCTAAAACGAAAGCGGGACATCAGTACATACTCACAATCATGTGTGCGGCTACAAGGTACCCTGAGGCGATCCCAGTGCGCAATATCAAAGCTAAAGCGGTAGTGAGGGAGCTGGTTAAGTTTTGTTCAACCTTTGGTTTGCCAAAGATCATTCAAACTGATCAGGGCTCTAATTTTACGTCAACTTTATTCTCGCAGGTGTTGCGTGAGTTAACTGTTAAACATCAGCTATCGAGTGCCTATCATCCCGAATTCCAAGGTGTATTGGAACGATTCCACCAAACTCTTAAATTCATGTTGTGTACATTTTGTGTGGAAACTGGTAGGGACTGGGATGATGGGTTACCGATGCTGATGTTTGCTGTACGTGAAACGGTACAGGAGTCTTTAGGTTTTAGCCCTGCGGAACTGGTGTTCGGTCACACCGTACATGGGCCGTTGAAGCTGCTCCGGGAACAGTTAGTAAGTGATAGTCCACGCCCTGTGTCAGTGTTGGACTATGTGAGTAAGATACGTGAACGATTGCATCACACGTGTGAGTTGGCAATAACTAATTTGGCTGGGAAACAAGAGCAGATGAAACGGCGGTATGATAAACGAAGTGTTAATCG